TTGCTTTTGCTTTACATTTTCCGACATTTTAATAAACTATCACGTAATACTTAATTTGGGTTTCTATCTCAATAATTTAGTGGGCTTATATTTTCTTTATTTGGGCTTTCATTTATTTATTGTTTGGTAATGTGGTTAATTCACAATAAAATGATGTAACCAAATAAAGCAAATAATACTGTTAGTATAAAAGCCAAATAATTCTTATGTGAACTATGTAAAAGACAAAATAATATTAGATTCCATAATATCGTAAACTTACAACTAAATAAAAACCGTACACATTCAATTCAGATTTATTAATCAACACAAACAACAACCAATGCTTCATTTTATAAAAATCAAAAATAAATAAGATAATTAACTCGCGGTATACCGCGGGTCATATCTTAGTAAGATGATAGTAAATAGTAATCTCATTTTTTTATTATTATAAATACTCAAGCATACAACATACTAATCGTACAATTAACACTATATAGATTTCCATATACATTCTAATCACACAACTAAATGGGTTATATAAAGACTTATTATATTTAAAACCTATATTGATTTTTCTCTAAACAAACATATAGACATGTCAATTAGGGCCAAAGCCCGCGGGCTAGCCCGGCCCAGCCCTGAAAAACAGCGGGCTCGGGCTTCAAAATATATGTCCAGAAAAAATCGGGCCTTTCGGGCTAAGCCCGTTCGGGCTAAAGGGTTCTTTGGGCTTAGCCCGGCCGGGCTCGGGCTAGCCCGAAAAGCCCTTTAAAAAATATTTTGATCTTTTTTTTTTGTTAATATTTTCGTTTAATTGTAAGATTTGTTGTAAAAAAAATTTTGATAGAGTTGAAAACCCTAAACATAGTTTTTTCGTTATGTATTACTATAAATTGAAAAAGCAAATATTAGCTCTACTACCTAATTTGAATTATTTTGATTTTATATTTTATCCAGTATAAGTTTAAACAATTTATTTGGATTATTTATTTGATTATAACTCTCTTTTTAAAAAACTAAATTAGCGTTAGTGGTTATTTAAATTTTGATTGACTCGTTTCATATATAGATTTTTTTTAAGAGATATTATAGATTATAAGTTTGTTTTTTGTTGTCGGAAGAAAAGCCCAAAAAAGCCCGGAAAAGCCCTGTAGCCCTGTTAGGGCCGGGCCGGGCTTTAAAATATAGGCTCGGAATTTTTACGGGCCGGGCCGGGCTCAAATATGTACGGGTTTTGCGGGCTTCGGGCCGGGCCGGGCCGGGCTAGCCCGATTGACATGCCTACAAACATATATTATTACTGAAAAGAAAAATAACAAAATAATGTTTAATTTAACGGAACGTGGTTATATGGTGAGACGGGTTTGGGTCGGTATTAATAGGGGACGGTATACCACCGGTGAAATCTTAGAATTAACAATCAAATAAACATGTTTAACCAACAATATGCGATACAATCTATATCTTTATCATAACATTTAAATTCAACCTTAAAATAATTGGTATTAATTATGCAGAGTTAAACTAAAACTAATGTACCCTCACAATAAAAAAAAAGCTATTACACACTTAGAATATAATATATTTACATCTAATTAAAAACTGTACAGAATCATACTTACGTTGCGACAAAAAAAAAACATATAAACTTATTACATCAGATTTATCAGTTTAAAAATAAATTAAACATTTAAACCCGCGGTGTACCGCGGGTCATATCCTAGTTATTAATTACAATTGTAACATTTCATGCAAAAATAAGCCAAACCATTATACAAAAGAATCATGTTTCCATTTTTATATGGAGTATTTAATTAATTATGGTATAGTTTTTGTTGACGTTGCAATTTTTTTTATTAAATGTGACTAATTACTACGTTAGTAATTAACAAAAATTAATTCCTTTCATCTCATATAATTTCAAATTTATTAGATATTGTACATTTGTTTCATTATTTATTAAAAATATAATAATTTTGCTCATATTTTAAAGTATATTCTTATTTTTAAGGTCTTTTGTGTTAAATTTCTCATTATAATCTTTCACCAGGTGAAAAGAAATCCTGGATCCGCCACTGTAAATGTCACTGTCTGTTGTAGACATTAGTCAAGTTAGCACCTCCAATGGTGTATGTTAGGTGATTCTTAGCAAAAAATCTTAGATTAAAATACTTAAAAATAAAACAAAACTCTTTAAATTGCTAAGAAGTGTATTTAAGCTAAGATTTTTTTGTCTGAGAAACGAACAAATGAAAAATGAAAAAAACAAGTCACGTGTTTTCTCTTTCTCTCTTTCTCTATTAATTCTTCGACTCCTCCGTCAGTGAAATCTCTCCGACGCGTTTGATCCGTCGAATTGAGAGGAGAAATGAGTTGGAATTGCGTTTTTGATCTGTTGGTATCATCATCTACAAGATAAATGGTATGAATCTCTCTGATTTCACTTGTAGATCGTAAATTAAGGTTTAGGTATATAGTGTCGTTTTGAACATTGAATTTGATCCGTTTGATATGTTTTTGCTTGAATTAGATATATTTCTCTGTTTTTGGCTTGAACTTTTCCATTAATTTGATCTGTTCTACTGTTTTTGTTGAGGTTAAATATTTCTCTGGATTCTTGGTTTTGTTTCTTTTACCATCTGTTGGTTTTGTTTCTTGGCTTTGGACTTTTAGTGTTTTAGGATTGGTAGTAGTTCTTATTGATGTTGATGATCCTCTTTTGATGTTATCTGTTCACAGTGTCGAAGTTGATGGCTTCCTTTGTGATTCAGATGTGACTGCTTGAAGTAGATTGTTTGATTAATATTAGGTTAAGACTTCTTTAAGTAGATTATCATGTTTGTTTTTCAGGTTTGGTCTCTCTGTTCTCTTTCAAAGGAAGCAATATATAGGTCTCTCTGTTCTATACAAAGCAAGCATTGGAACCAAAGCTATTGTGAAAGTGGTAATTTTGTTTCACTATCTTCTCCGAATTGTTTTGGTATATGAATGCTTGTACTTCTTCTCATTGTTTCTATGAATCCATGTGAATGCTTGTATGGTTCCTTGTATTGGAAGACATCTAAATAAAAAAATTTGAATTTTTTTTTTTTTTAAGAACCATTGGAAGACTATTTCCTTAAGATCTTCTCATTTTATTCTTAGCTTAGAAATACCAAAAATTTAATATAAATAATTGTTAAGATCAAAAGTTAAGAACCAATTGGTTCTTAACCATTGGAGATGCTCTACATACACGTAAATATAACAGTTCTGAACGTTGCTTGCGTGTGTTTTGGATATGGCACCAGTAGGATTGGTCATTGAGCTGTAGTGGGAATCATTTCAGTAGCTCACTTATGAATCTATTATCTGCATTTTGCTAAGGAAATAGTCTTCCAATGGTTATAAATTTTGAATATTGGTACTTTTATAAATTCTGACGTTAAGTTTTGTGTCGCTATGTTTTGCGTCATTTTTTTAAAATGAAATAACAAAAATATACGTCGGAGTGTAAGTTCGGAAGTAAGATAAAGTGTGAAAAGTAAACGAGACAAGAAATTTGTTAACAGGTTCGGTTTTTCTTACTTCCCGGAACCAAGTCCAGATTTTGATTTCACTAGAACAAGAAAGCAAATATAATCTATAACGCCCCGTCCTATAACGTGAACTCTTAAAGATAATTTTTACCGTTAACTAAATTCCCCTGAGCCTAAATTTAATCGAAATGACCTAACCCTAAGCTAAACTCCAAGTCTCTGGAACAACCGCCACACACCAACGAACAAATAAAGCTTTGATCACACAAGCACCAAATTGCAAAACTAAGTTGCACACAATCTCATAAAGCTCTCTTGGATTTCTCTTTATGTCTCAGCTCTCTTGCTTCTCCAAGACGTCCTTAACTCCTCCTTATATAGCCAACATGATTTCCTAATCAACATAGAAGAAGGTTTCCAAATTCTATACAGAAAAGTAAAATTTCCTTTTACACTTTTATTTTTTCTTATCAAATTCCACTTTCATCAAGTCTTTCAAAACTCTTCTTTAATTTTTTTTTTTCCTTTTGATCCATCCTCAAAACTTGCTCCAAACATATCTTCTCAAATCTTCTAGAAACAGATATACACACAAAACATCAGCATTTTGTATTACTTCTTGAATCATTCAACAACTGTATCAAACAACAACTAATTGCGGGACATAACAGATTTGAATTTCCTATTAGGTTTTATAGGATTTGCAGACCGACCAATTGCGGGACAAATCATACGGGGTGTGCCACTTCACTTTGACATCTCTAGATTGTAGGTCAGTAGAACCTTTTCTGGTCGATGAGACACAAAACTAATTGTTTTTGGGTCGAGAAGTGCCTCGCTCCACAAGAGATTACCCCCGTTTGGAAATAATGAGGAGTTTTTATTCACTTGTAACTGTATTACATTTGTATACGAAAAATCAAGGAATATTTACTTAGATGTTATAGAAAAGTTGGAATATTACTAGCAGATCATACATTTTCTGAAAATTACTCATATGTTTAGTGTCATTGTGTAATTACAATTGACACCCTTGATTAGTTTTTTTTTTTAATTGGGATTTTTTTTTAATTAAAAAATGATTAATGAAAAATTAGTTTAGTCCACGTCATTAAGAAAAAAAAATTAAAGCCACGTCATAAGAGAAAAAAAAAAAAAGAAGACGAAAGGTTACGTAACTTATTGTTTCGCGGCAAATTTACATGTCACGGCTGAGTTATAATGCTTCACGGAAGACGAAAGCTTGCGTATATTTACATATTACGGCTGATTTATAATGCTTCACGGCTGACTTATCACAAGAACCAACTTCACAAGCTTGTCGTGCGTTGTTTTCGCATCTATCTGCACAACCCTACACCTTTTATCGTCGGTGTTAAATATATATTTGTGTTTCTTTACCCAATTACCGAAAACAACAATTATCGGAACCGGATCAATCATATATTGGGAGAAGGATGAACGAAAATGAAGAAGAATGAGGAAGACGATGACAAATTGGATGTTCAAAATTTAAGTTCTGGATATCTCTGTTGATGTGAAAACTACAGGTGAAGAACAACACAGTGAAGAACAAGACGAGTAGAAAAAAGACGTTTCGTATTTCCTTTGATGATGATGACATGGAATGATGACATGAAATATTGCATCCGACGTCATTTTTTAATTGATGAAGTGGCAAGTAAGCCACCAAACGAACATGTAAATCAGCCTAATTATACCAGCCATCGAACAAAACTTTCAGTCAGTCGCAACATGAATACTATTACAGTAGTTAAAAAATGAAAAAACGGCTGCCAAATTCAGCCGTTTAATGTCGTAACTCAACCGAAAATCTTTAACTCAGCTGTATCGTTTAATAAGTCGGCCGTAATTGCATGCTATTCTAGTAATTAATCTTTTGCTACTAAGTCAGCCGTAATTAGGCCGAGTTTTCTGTTAATCCAGCTCATTACGGCTAATTTCATTAAGTCAGCTGTAACTTCAGGCTGGGTTATAATTGTAAGTTAGCTGTTTTCTCATAACTCAGCCATTTTTCTTAAATCACCCGCAACATACCGTAACTCAGCTGTCATTGCCGTTGTATCGTTTTACGGCTGAGATCATTAATACACGTCAGCGATTTCTGACGTGGCGACGCGGTTTGTCTGACGTGGCAATGACATTCTTTATAATTACGTTTTTTTCCTATAACGTTTAACAGGACCATGTTGGGTATACAAAATATATCCAAAATATGATAGTAATAAAAAAAGATCTGTATGTTTCTGGTCATTTCACCTAATTTATATGACATCTAAGAAAGATTTATTTGTTTTCACAAAAATTAAAGAAAACAAATAAATCTCTTTCTCTTTTTCTCAAAGGATTAAGAAATAGATAACCGTAATTTAGCATGTACAATTGGAATATTTGTTCTAATGCAAAGAAAATTTCTACTTACGAAAAATTTAAGTATTTATAAAACAGGGAACATACAATTTTTATAAAACAATGTGTAACACACCAAGTATGTATGACATTAACAAAATTTTGCACCTTTGTTTTAACAAGGTATGCTATAAAATTGAGCAATGAGAGTTACAAATAGTTTGAGATAGTTCTAAAAAACACTTTAAGCCAATCCACTTTCAGTTGAGATTATTCTCTTCCTAGCCTTCTCAGCCTGCAAATCATAGATTCCAGTTACTTCTGAGCATTCAAAAAAATAGAATGTACAAGTGTAACAAGCTCTAACCTGTTCCTTCCAATTGATGGACGCTGTGACGAAAGCCAATATAATGGCTTGCACAGCGGATCCAACCACTACACCACACCAGAGTCCTTTTCCGTTCAACTCACGACAGAAAGCTAAGTAAACTCCAACCGGAGCTCCTACGAGATAATAAGCTACCACGTTGTTCAAAGCTCCAATGTGCTGCCAACCACTTCCCCTAGCAACCCCATTAAGAACTGCGGTAAATCCGTCAAGAGCAAAGGAGAGACAGAGCAAAGGACTTAGGTCAGCCACATAGTCAACAACTTCTTTGCTGTTGCTGAATGCGTAGCCTATGATGTTCCTGCACGTGAAGAGAAGTGTGCTAAAGAAAGCTGACTCTACCAGCCAGAGACAAAGCCCTGCCAATACTGAAACCCTAGCAACTTGAGGAATCCCAGCTCCCAATTTGTTTGACACGCGTGTGCTGCAAGAAACCAAATGACTAATATTGTTTAGGAAGAAAATGCTGAATATGTTTGGTTAAAAAGTGGAGATATCATACCTAACAGCCGCTGCGACTCCAACTGGAATCACATAGTGCAAAGTTGCTGTTGTAAGACTTGCATGAAAGAAATAAGATTCATTAGTTAAGTAAAGTAAATAACAAAGATAAAAGGAAGTCCTTGTATATGATATTGATACTTACCAAATAGAAAGAACAGAGGTCTCGAGTTTCGGGTTCGGGAGAAGACCTGAACAGAGTATGAGTAGCTCAAATAGCCACCATTCTAGGCTATTAAAAGAAAACCGAAAAATGCAAGCGAGATAAGCAGAAGCATTCGTGTATGTAACTTGACCAACAAGAAACTTTAAAATGACTTACCAAAGCATTGCCGCTGATGGGACTCCGTAATGGAAGAACTTCTTGACAGAAGACACGAAATCTTGGGATACAAATCCGCGAGTCTTCTCGCAAGAGCTGGAGAATCTCACATAACATGAGAGAATCACAGCGTAAAACCAGAAAGACACACTAATAGCCAGGGCAGCACCATTGCTTCCCAGACCAAGCGCGGAAACCAAAGTCCAGCAAACCGCCATGTGGAACAAAAGGGTGGTCAGGGCTGAGTAGAGCAGTGGAAGAACCAACCCTTGTGCTAGCAGAAACCGGGTCAGTGGTATGACAATCGCATGAGCAAACAAAGCCGGTATGAGCCAAAAGGCGTAGGATCCAGCGACTCTGGAGATGTCAGGGTCTTGACCGAGAGAGATTAAGAGCTTTTCAATGTAAATCCAGAGAATTGATATGAGGACACAAATAGGGATGTTAGAGGCAATTGCAGAATATGTATAGGTTCCGAGTTTTTCGTATTGTTTGGCTCCATAAGCTTGGCCACAAAGTGTTTCTAGTGCACCCACTAACCCATACTGCACAAAGAACAAATTGAACTGTTATCAAGATTTGAGAGTCAACTTGATTTTGAACTTAAGAGGAGAGAGTAGTCATAACATAATTACCATAATGCTGAAACCGGAGACGTTTGTGAAGGAGGTGGCAAGAGCGACACCGGACAGCTGGAGCTCGCCGTTGTGACCGGCGACCATGACTGAGATGACAGGCAATAAGTACTGAGCAATGGTCACGGTGGCCATAGGAGCGGCCAAGCGGCTCACTTTCTTCAGCTCGACGTTGAGCTGACCATTTTGCCATGTGGCTTTACAGGGGACTAGCTGCTCATCTTCCGGAAGAAATGGCTCTTCCATTGTCGTATTTCTAGTGTTTTATTTTGTTAATATGTTTTTTTTTACTTATTTTTTGTTATTGTTGTTGTGTTGAAAGCCTTGTCTATAATTTATGATGACATTCTTCCATCTTTTATAGACACTAGACAGACGACGAAACCAATGTCAATGTCAACGTAGACTTTTCTTTTTGGAAATTGTGGGAATAGAATATTCAAATTACATGACTCTTAGCTCGACCAGTAGAATTCTATATTTTCCACGAAGATCCTCAAAAAGTATATTATTAAGTCTAAATGTTAAAGTATAAACTATTACGAAAGTTTATACATCAAAGGTTTCAGCAATGACGTTGTATAGTTTCTCTTTAATAAGTGTCAGGAAAAAAATAGTTTCTTTTTTTAAGGTGAACATACATCATGTTCTTTGCAAATGACAAAATCTTCTAACAACTTTGGTTGCCTGACACGATCTTAATGGGGTTCTTTTGTACTCGTACGTATAAGTGAAGAATAAATAATGGCTAGTATTTCATAAATAACTCAATTTTTTTCTTGGAGGATTAAATAAATAAGAGCATTTTATAAATTCTTTTATTCTTTCATCCCTAAAAAATGGTATTACGGGTATGAAAATTATTCTAATAATTTCAAAACATGTGACATATTTAAGTATCTAAGAGTTATTTTGTATCATTAATTATTAATAATACTTTTTCGATATATCTCTTTTCGGAACTCACCCGGCAATAACCTAACACCAGCAAAAAGAACTACAATTCGGTCAATTTGAAATACGAATGGTGTACGTCGTGGTCAACACTCAACACTCAACAGTACTCGTCCAATATCATAATTTTGAAATACATGATAATACACTTGGGGATCACGCTCCAATGATCGATGACTCAACAAAGGCAACTCGAAAACTACTTGGAAATCAAGTTCTAATTATCAAAGTTTAAACAACAAAAAATAACTGTTTTAACAATTTATATTTAAGAAAAAAAACTATTTTCACAAAATTTATATCTAATTTTGTTGATTTTTAAAAATCCACCAAAAAGATGTCATGACTAAAAATAAATTTTATCTCATATTAATAAATCATCTTTCAGTATGTTAATTAAAACGTTTGAAACATATATATAAGTTATAAATTAGTCTTGACTTCCATGATTAAAAAAAAAATTCCATCTCGGCAAATAAAAGCACATGCAAAGAACTTTGCAATAACAAAGCAAACACTATCTATCTCAACAACTTTGAAATTTAGAATTGAAGATTGGATAGAAAAAGTTCTCCCAGATATAAAAAGTTGTTTCCCATGATTTATCTTGTCCATCAAACCATACATGTCATATATTCACAATATTCTAAATACGAATGCATCTATTTTCTTCATCCATTCTCTTCTCTCTTGTCATTTTCAGACACCATCCTTTTACCTTCTCTTACAAGAACAAGTAATAAATTTGCTTTGATACATAAATAAGTTTTATTCGGTATAAAACCAATATTAGAATTAAGTATACAAACTATAGGATCTACCCTCTATGTTTTTTATTCTCTTTTTCTTTTTCTAAATATCTTCACCTCTATGTTCAAACTTCAAAACTTAATTTTTGAATTTAGTAACATAATTTTTGTTCAACTTCTATATATATCAATATAAAAATATGCAGTGCTAAACGTTAAAACATGTAAAGTTTGTGGAAAATTACTTTCTGATGTCAAGTTCAGAGTATAACGAAGTGAGCCGTTTCACTTTATATTTCTTAAGTTTATAAAATCAAATTTTAAACCATTTTAAATTACTTGAAAAATGTGATACTAACGTACATCATTATACAACGGTAATCATGAATCTAACATCGATCAGCCAAGACGTTTCTACTCTTATAATACCGTGTCAACCATGAGACAAGTGTTTGATCAGATATCATCTATTGACGCTTGTCCCGGTTATTAATAGACTAGTATTTTGATTATATATGTTTTATTTATAATTTGAATTTGGTTTGCTGATTTGGTTAAGTGTTTTTTTGTTGCATTATATATACCTTCTTAATTTCCACTTATATATATGTATATTATTGTACTTTTATTTCCTCTATATACACACGTCTGTATGTTGTTTAATTATTAATAGACTTGTTTTTTTTATGGCTTTGAATGGGGGAC